CTGCTCTTTCAGTTGCACTCCAACCATTAATGGATGTACGGTACACGGCGTTTCCCTTGGACGTTTGCAGCACAAGGAATAGCTGGTTTAGGTGGACAGTCTGAAGTGGGAATACAGCACTGAATGCTTCACTGCCCTTTATGCCTTTTTCTTTGCAACACCCAAATTCTTTTTGGTTGCCGTTTTATTGGTGGGGCTGTGAATTACTGTCATGCCAAAAGGTGGGATTTGGGCACCTAAACACACTGTGGCTGGTGCGTTGTTTCAGAAGGCAGCTTGCGGGCAAGCATGCAGATGTTTGTAGCAGATGTGGAAACTGAGGTTTTGTCCCCTGAGCCTCGAGCCGACCACTGAACCATCCTTTACTCTTCCTTCGCAAGGCCAAGTTCAAACCTGGCTTTAGTAGGATGACATCCCTTTTTCTTCATTTATTCCATGCTCTTTTCATGGGTCTAGTGTTACGTCTGGTTAGCAATTACTGCTCTGACGTGGCAGAATTGGTGCCTCGGTTCCAGCAGCCTTCACACCCCAGGGAAACAGCCTTCTGTGTCGCTGGCTAATGGTGCATGCCTTACAGCATCACATGCTGTTTCTCCAGTTTAAGTTCCAGGGTTCAGGTACGGCAAATGATTCGCGATGGAAGAAAGGGACAAAGCAGAAGGTGGCTTTACAGTTAAATACAACAACGACCCAGAAATGACATAAAACACTGAGCTTATTTCAGTCGCAAGGCTGAAGCTGGGAGATAACGGGCCTTTTTGGCACTTCTGGATTTCGTACGTTTTGCAGTTTTTAATTAAAAGCCCATATTCTGCGTATTCTTATTCCTTATATGAGCTGGATGTGGAGAATGAGATAATTGAAGGTTTCAAAAGCAATTACAAACCGTCATATCCTAATTTTTAAGGACTTGACTTTGCAACCTCAATGATATCTCTCTGTCCAATTAAAAAATCCCATATAGAGTTAATGTATTTTACCACAGGATGAATTTAGAATAACTTTTAATCTTCAGTTATTTCAGATTATCGCCAGGGTAAATGAGATTGCTTTTTTTCCCTCTTTTTTTAATTGTGGGGAAAACTCAATGCATCACTCTAGTTGTTTCTGGTTGAAAAATGTCAATGTTACAGAAGCAATCGATGCAGCTTGGTCTAAATAAAGGTGTTTCAGGTCTGATATACAGATGTTGCCTTTCTCCTGTCTGCATTGCATCCTGCAATGTTTTCACTGAAAAGTGGTTTGCAAAATCCTGAGAGAAGACAAAGAAATCTTTATTTTAGTCTTTGACTGGTAATTGCGGAATATGGACCCTGTTCTGTGATTCCACTTGGTACCAGAGGTACTATTCCTCTAGATTGCTCTAATGCCAGGGTTTTTTTCAACAGATTTGCAATATTTAGCCTATCTTACCTTCAGTCTACATTTCTGCATCTCCTCCCTTTTCCTTTCCCCCACAGCTCTCAGGTCTGCGGGTTGTAAATAAAGAATGCAGTGTCAAAAATTCCTGGGTGCATTTGGCCCACAGATTGTACGTAAGCCTTTTGGCACGGCGGTCTTATTCTTCTACTGAAAGCAGAGGCTAGAACTCAGCCTGCACAGCCCCGGGGGACCGCAGAGAGGTTGTGTCATGCTGGCTAATCCTGATGATGAGAATGGATTGAATGGAGAGAGGAAGTGGATGCCCTTTTCTTTTCCTGCTTAGTACTTACCATGTCAATTAGTTTAAAAAAAAAAAAAAAAAAACAAACCCAAAACAACACCAAAAAATACCCCACAGCCAAAAAACCACAGTGGAGCCGTATGTCGTTTTGGTGCAAAAGCATCGTGGTACGTGATGGGAAATCTTCCTCCATTCTGCCATGCCTCGGGAGAGTATAGCATACGTAACATATTGCTATCTATGTACCTTGAAAAAATTCTGCTCTACTTCCAACTGAGTAATCAAAAGAGGATTTTTTTTATTCCTTTTCAAAGTGCAACATTCAAAAGGAAACCTCTTATCTATTTGAGAATTCAATACACTTTTGGAAACAAAAGAGAATGAAATCATCAACCGTAGGTCTCAGAGCAACACTGATTTTAATAATGTAAACTTTCTTCTCTAATGAGTAATAAGCAGTTCCATCTTTCATGGCCTTTTAAAATTGCTTTTAGTAAGGGACTGGATTTGTTTTAATCCTTTTCAGTATGTAAAGCCCCAGATATTTCAATCCCTTAGAGGCTCGGTATCTTCTAGCTCCGATTGAAAAGGCAGAGGAAAAACAGCTTTCAGAAATTGACGGAATCTGTGACTGATGTAATTTAATTTTTTTTTCTTTTTTTTTTTCTTTTTTTTTTTTATCCAGAAAGTGACCCAAAAGTGTCAGTTAAGAAAAAGATCTCTGGCATCCCACCCTGTGGATTAGTAGCAAACAGGCATATCATCTAGGTACAGTAGCTCTTTGTACTCTGACCTAGTTGTTTCTCTTCTGGCTTGTTCCTTCTTGAAAGGTTATTTGGAAGAGATGCTGAATTTGCTCCATAAACAGCTAAAGCAGCATCACCTGCCACGTGAAGTGCTTCCCTTTAAAATGCACCCTAGCACCACAGAACTGCCAACACCTAAAACTGCGCTGCTGCCTAGTCAGAATGGATACTCGAAAACCACCTAAGATCCCAGATGGTTTATTCTGGAGGATGCTTTTCCCAGGGAGGGGTTGGGAGAGCCTTGTCTGGGATCAGGCTGGTATTTGTGGGGTGTTCTAGTGAATTCAGCTTGATCACACTATTTTTACATGGTTAGCAATTAATTGTCGCTGCCGTTTTCCTGAATACACCTGCATTAGTCTTGTGTTTTGTGCATGCGTAACTGTTAACTTCGCCGTATGTTCTTTTTCCTTAGATAATTCCAGAAAGTGCCTCGAGGAAGCTTCGTTATGTAGAAGAACCCTGCAAGACAAACACAGCGCGCTTTCTGGCAACTTGTGCAGCAAAGCTGTCAAAATGGCAGAAAATAAGGACAGTAATATCAAAAACGCAGATGTGAGACCCAAAAGCAGCCGGAGTAGAAGTGCGGACAGAAAGGATGGCTACGTCTGGAGTGGAAAGAAGCTCTCCTGGTCTAAAAAGAGTGAGCACTGTTCTGATGCTGAAACAGCAAGTGCTGCGGGAAGAGCAGGGACTAATTTAAGGAGCCAAGAGAGGAAATACAGCTGCTCGTCTATCGAGCTGGATCTAGACCGTTCGTGCGGTCACAGGTTTTTAGGCCGGTCTCTCAAACAGAAGCTGCAAGATGCTGTGGGTCAGTGCTTTCCCATAAAGAATTGTAGCAGTCGGCACTCCTCAGGACTGCCATCAAAAAGAAAAATTCATATCAGTGAGTTAATGCTAGATAAGTGTCCTTTCCCTCCGCGCTCGGAGCTAGCTTTTCGGTGGCACTTGATCAAAAGACATACAGCCCCTATAAGTCCAAAAGCGGAAGACTGGATAATTGCTGATTTATCTCAGCACGAGGAAAGGGAGGATCAGCTGCGAGATGATGAGGTTGCCAACGGGGGGATGGACTCTCCTTCCCAATCCTGTGACTTCACCGACACTGGGTCCTCTAGGGGCGATTTGAGGTCTGAGTTGGTTACAGGTAAGGTGGTAAGGAGCAGCAAAGATGAGAGCGATATGGACTCCGATGATGAAGTTGTAACGTTGTGCACAAGTTCTAGAAAAAGAAACAAGCCCAAATGGGAGACGGATGATGAGCTGCTACGGATGGAAACGCCTCCGAAATACCATACACAGATTGATTATGTCCACTGCCTAGTCCCAGACCTCCTCCAGATCAACAACAATCCCTGCTACTGGGGAGTCATGGATAAATACGCAGCTGAGGCACTGCTAGAAGGAAAGCCAGAGGGAACATTTTTGTTACGAGATTCTGCCCAAGAAGACTATTTGTTTTCTGTGAGCTTCAGGCGCTACAGTCGTTCCCTCCACGCGCGGATAGAGCAGTGGAATCACAACTTCAGCTTCGATGCCCATGATCCTTGCGTCTTCCATTCTCCTGACATCACGGGACTCCTAGAGCACTACAAAGATCCAAGTTCCTGTATGTTCTTTGAACCACTTTTATCCACTCCGCTAAACAGGACTTTTCCTTTTTCTCTTCAACATATATGTAGAACAGTTATTTGCAACTGTACAACTTACGATGGTATTGACGCACTTCCCATTCCTCCGTCAGTGAAGCTGTATCTGAAGGAATATCATTATAAGTCGAAAGTTAGAGTACTCAGGATTGATGTACCAGAGCAGCAAAGCTAGAAAATATTTTTATGAAAGAATTACATTGGCTCTAAAAAGACAAATAGTATGTTCAGTCTTTCTTCCTTCTAGTATCTTTTTTAGTAGCTTTTTTTTTTTCTTTTTCTGCAGATTATTTACCACCCAAACTAGCCTCTGTCTAAGGCTTTTTTTTATCCAAATGTACTTTGAGTCTTCCCAGCTCTCTTTTTTAGAAATGGTATTCATTGTGGGCTTTTGGTACTGTTCTCAAACTAGAGTTTTACAGAATTTCAGGTAGGCTTTCTGGTATTTCTATAGAGATGGATAGTCTTTAGATCTTAAAAAACCCCTAAAAATCAGTTTTGAACTTGATCTGTCTTTTGTATTGTAATTTACATATGTTGCTGACATGTTTGAAATAATGCACTGTTAACTAAAGATTGACTCATCTGTATTTTCTGCATTTCTTTTAAAATGAGTGCTCTAGCCTCTGTGTGTGCGTACGTATGTCCGTCCATATCTAATACAGTAAATTCACCTGTCTATTTCTAACATTACTATTCCTAGCAAAATGAAGTTTGAAAGAGGATATGATCTTTCTATAAATATATCAGGGGACTAAACACCAGGGAGGGGAAAAACAATTCAAGTTAAGGACAACACTCAGTACAGGAATAAACACGTATAAACTGGTCGTGAAGAGATTTTGGTTGGAAAAGAGGAAGGGCTCGTAATCGTCAGAGCAGCGGGGGTTCTGGAAGAGCTTTTCATTTTGTATAATAGCAGTAAAAAGCAAGCTGCTCACAAACTGGGATTTGATCAGTGTCTGGAAGGGATAATGATGTAGTTACTTATGACAGATGGGGCTTGGACTTGGTTACTCTATTTCTACGTTACTATTTCATTATATGAAATAGCCAGTTTTTGCTATAGGAGCTGCTGCTTCTGAAATGATAAAGCACGGGCTGGGAGGGTGAGAAGGAAGATATTTCCTCAAAAATCTGCATATTAAACCATCTGATCTTGTATGGTTGATCCTGAGGTGATAATGAATAACTTTCTTACTTTGCTAGTAGGAGGGTTGTTTTTTAAATAAGTATCTTTTAAAAAAAAAAAAAAAAAAAAAAAAGTCTGCAGATTTTTCTTGCAGCGTGAAGCATTTGGTCGAATGGCCTCCTGCCAAATTCCGCGTACGGGAAAACCATGCGTGGATAATGCCCCTAAAAGCATTACTTACATTACACGGGTAGGCAGATCTGCTGCTGAATGATTGGAGAAATCCCAATGAGACTCAGTGGATCTGGGTTCGGGCAAGAAACTCTCTTGCTTTCCAGGCTGGCCTCGGGGTGCAGCTCCAGGAGGTGCAGGAGTGACCTGCAGTTCGGTTGTCTTCGCTTGGATGTGCTTTATCTCCTCTCGCAAAACCGGGCCCAGGACTACTCCGCCGAAAGTACGCGAGCTGATGTAATTGTAACTACAACAACCGCGCTGTTTCCTCGCCTTTGATCACAGGGAGCATTTGTATCCTCTCAAAATGCTTTTGAAACCAAGACCCCCAAGCCTGCACATTACAAATGTGTTGTAATTTCATGCCTGCAAAAGATCTTATCAAAAATCAGCAATTACCCGTGTTTGTGAGGTTACGGATGTGTGCAGGCTAGGAGCGGCAGAGCACACTGCTGTAGAGTCTCGCTCCCAGGTTGTAGGCTAAGACTAAGCAATATTTCTATTTGAATCTTTTCATTTCACCCTGTACAGAATCCTATGGATTTGTGGACATCAAATCCGTCCTGTGAGCTGGGTACTTGGGAGTTGCCAAGGAAGCTTTGCCATGCAGCTCCACTGGGTCCGGCTACCCTGCCCTTGCCCCCCTCCCCGAGCAGAGAACACCCTTTCCACTAAACTGCTGTCACTGTGATGATGTAAACAGATTTCCAGGGACATCTGCTTAGAGACCAGCTCGTTTGTTTTCACTGTGTTTTAAATAGGTTTTGAACCAAAGTCTCCAGGGAGAAAATGCTAACACATCAATCTATCTCATCGCACATGGATGAATACGCTACAGGACAAACTCTCAGCTGCTATAAATCAGCGTGGCTTTATTGATACGCTTATAGCAGCTTATACCAGCTGAGATTCTCCTTCTGCCAGATGCAAATGATAATTGTATGACTGATGTCAGAAAAATGACCCTTTTTTTCCTGTGATCTTCTCCTTGAGCTGCTTCCATCCAACTGACATTGCCTTTTGCATAAACTGTATTTTATCAAGGACAGCGTCGTACTAGTAAATCTGTTTTTCCCTCTGTCACTGCCGTTTTCCAAATACAAAGTGAGGGAGCAGCGGGCATCTTCGCTCTGCTCTCCAATGCTGTGCCTGTCGGGGTGGAACGGTGGCCCATGACTTGCGTGGCTGCAGTCCAAAGTAAGAGTATCTGGTTCAAAATCTGACTTCACAGAGCGATGTCAGAGATATTTGCAGTCTGCTTCATTAAAACTGTCTTTCGGAAACTCTTAATTAGGGCAAAAAGCTCATCATTTTAGACAGCTATTATTATTTTTATCACAAGACCACAAAAAATAGATTTCAACCAAAAGTTGTACTTGCTTTGGAAGTTAGCGAAGGCCACCACCTCTTTCAAAATTGGCAAAGATTTTGTCCCTTCAAAATGAAAGGCCGTGGGGGAACCTTTTCTGGGGTATAGTTCCCCAACGCGCTGTGTTTTCAGTGTCGATCTGTATGCAGCCTACGTTGTTTTGACATTTGTGGATGCATCACTTACCCCAAAAATGTCTTGAGCACTCCAATTTTAGGAGACCTATATAATATAGCGGTTGGGGGAAGAAGGTACGGCACATAAAAATAGTGCCTTTGGACCGTGGGACAGGTAACTGCATTGATTGAGAGAAATCGTGTAGAAAATAGCGATGAATGCTTTTTTTTGTGGAAGTTCACCCTATTTTTTCTTGTTTTACTTGTCCAGATCGTTCGTACCTGTGTGACGTTTGTACCTAATGACAGTGAGTTGTGCGTACACGAGCAGTCTGTAAGAGAAAGATCCATTTCACAAAGCACTTTTTTACAAAATGTGAGAACATGAAAAAGTCTATTTTTCCTTAAATCCATGTACCTTTCTTTTTTCTCTTCTTCCTCTTTTTTTTTTTTTTAATAAGAAATTAACTGGTTTTACAATACACCAAGAATTGTCATCCTGAAGTTCTCCTCCCGCTGCTGTCATTAACAGTCTTACCAGTGCTGCTCGCTCCAAGAATATAACACCTTGCGTCTGAAGTGTGATCCAAAGCTAACCGAGTCGGGAAGTTCAGTGCTGAAGCCCTCTGAAAAATGAACCTCAGAAACAGGGTAGGAACTCCCGCTTGCTAAGCCCAAGCTCTTGCAAGACAGAGATCCCAAGTTCTTCAGGACAAAGATAAAATGTGGAGCAAGGAAAGGTGCGGAGATGTGCGGAAAAACACGTGCTCAAGGCTACGCAGCAGGGCAGTGGCCGAGCGAGGACGTAATCCAGAGGTGACCCTGGCCACAGCCCCCCTGTTTTGGGGCACCCAGCCGGTTTTGCATCAAGACTTGTGTCTGCATGATGTGGTTTGTCTTGTTTTGAAGGCAGTTCCATAGGAGGACAGTAGAAACACAGCGTATTGAATCAGTGTGAGCAGCTTCTGGTAAGAAAAAAAGATCTGATTTTGATAAATTATTTTGATACAAGGGGGGGAAAAAGGTCAGGCTCTTGATGCACGCTGGGCAAACTACATATACAAGCTATTTTCTCAGGAGTTTGCTTTTGCCTGAAATGACTTTTTGCAGCTCTATAGTAATGTCAGTTGTTGGCCCAGTGCCGTCAATACAGAGCAACCTCAACTCCATCTGAATCGTTGATGGATCTGGGGTAGTTTGTGCGTCCGATAATTGGGAGTACACGGTTCTTCTGGATTTTCCTCTTCTCAGCACTTGTCTTGATGAAACCCAGGGCACGTTGGGAAGAGGGTATGTGAATCTACAGTAGCATATCCAGCTTTAAAAAAAAAAACCAACAAACTGGTGATCACAATTGAAATGCTTTCCTTTTAAAGATGCTGGTGTGTTTCCAATAGAGAGAAGAAATCCTTGTATGATGCAGTCATACATGGCCTTACTGTAAAATTGACATGCTCTTAAATAATTAAAAAGGGGGATACTTTAATTTTGAAAAAGGATGCTGGAGGAAGGAGGCTAAAGGAAGCTTTTAGTCATCTCCAAGGTTAGATTTATTGATCTAGTGATCAATCCCTTTCTCTTTCCTGAATTTAAAGCTAATGGGAGAGTGTGGTCAGAGATGAGTGGCTTTTAGTTAAGGTTTTTGACTCTTATAAATAATACAACAAATGTCCTAGTAAGTAATAAGAAATAAGATACTCGCTCATTCTTTTTAAATAGAACAAATGTGGCAAACAAGACTCAGCTGTAATTTTTGAAGTCATTTATTAGACAAATTGCTCTTCTCTACTTCTTTTACAAGAGAGACATAAACCATTATATTATTTATTCATGAATCATAGCCATTAAGATGATAAATCAAATTATCAGCTTCCTGTCTCCCTTCGGTTTTAATCATTTTTTATAGTTCATGCAATATAAAGACAGCTTCCTTCCTATGAAACAAGAGACCTTCAGAGACCTTTTTATTGTAAACGTACATTTCCTTCCCATTTTTAAGTATATCCTAGTGATTTTCTCTGTCAATTTTATCTGCAATAAAAATCCAATAAGGAACTTGTACATTGATTCCGTATAGCAAAGTTAGCTATGAAGTAAGTGATTTTGGTTAACCTCTGAAATAACATAGTACCGGGAAAGGCAGTTAAAGGATTTTTCTCTGCCACCCGTAAATGCGCATGGTAGCATCACACGTTTAAGGGAGAGAAATCTTGACACGAGCTTGCAGGACGTTTCCCAACAGGTTTAACATGAGCTCTGCAGCAGCGTGACTGTTTTTAATACATTGAGGCTTGTTCTTTCTGCCGTGATTCACACAGCCAGAATGTCCTTGCCGCTCCCCGTGAGCTGGGAGAGCTAAGGTCGTTCTGGCAGCGGAGAGCCTTTCCCGCATCCCTTCCCCGCTTGCCTTCCGTCTGCATCTGCCCGGATCAGCATCTAAATCAGTCGCAGGCCGAGCCGCACGTGACGTGGTCCTCTGCTCCTCCGAGCCAAAATATAATCGTCTCTCGCCCCTTCCCAGCCA